GAGATTTCAAAAAACATTTTTATAAGCTTAGCTCTTCCATAATCAGAACCTCAGCACCCACTGAAGTTCCTGTCATTGAGAGAGGCTAATCTTCTTACCATGCATGTCAATTCCACTCTATTAAAAGCAAAAAAACATTCTTTAAAAAACATAGTTTCAAAGGATCCTCATCTGCAAAACTATAGGATAAAATACCTAACAATGGAAAGTAAATAGCTAATATCTATTTATATCATCAGTAAGCATCAAACACTGCTTGTGAGGCAAAGCCATCACTAAAGTGAGGCAAAGCCATCACATGGGTTGATCTACAGTGTGTCAATCAAGAAGTCTATTTCATTAAGGTAACAAACCCTTCCAACATACCAAGTTATATTTAGAAAATCAGCAACTTTGTAAAATTAAGAGAAGTCCCATCATAAGTAGCTTTTTCCCACACTACCTGATGTTCATGTTAGCATTTATCTAATTGTATTAGAAATCTCTTTCATGTCTTTCCCTACCTTGATAGATCATAAGTTCTTGAAGTCTTACCTATCTTTCCACCCCAATGATAGGCCAGGGCCTTCAGAGACCTCAAAGGAAGGGTCCATGATTTACCTAGAGGATGTGTCAAAATGTGATTGCTGGGCCTCACCTCCAAACATATGGAATTACCATGGTTTCTCTAATGATTCCCAACAGCACTGACTATCAAGAAGATAATAAATCCAAAGGGCATAACTACCTAAGAGCTATGGGTTGGTACTTCTACTTCTTAACTCACACAATTGTTTGGAAACTACTCACATAAAATTTGATGAATGAAAAAATAAAGGGGAAAGTGTCACCCAGGGTAAACCTTCATCTTGTAACAGAAACAGCTTATGACTTTTATCTTAGAGCATTAAGAGCAGATCCATGCATTTCTACTGAATCAAAGCAAATAATTTTGGGATTTTAAAGCTAGAGAGTCCTTATTATACCTTGCACAAAATACATTAAGAAAAAATATACCAAAGATATGTTAAAAACATAAAGGCTTAAACAATACCTTGTGTTATTCCTGTTATTTATTTAAACAATATTAAGAAATCTAAAATTATTAAACCCAACTTTTTTATGACAAAAATATCCATCACTTTTTTTCATGAAGAGGTATATAAGAAATATAAAATTATAGCTTTACAAATAATTCACTTTTTGATCAACACGTAACTAAATATGTATATCTATAAGTAGAAATATAATAATATATTTTAGAACAGTATAAAAATATAATTTATACTTTTATATATTGATTAATAGATCCCCAAATTTCAGCCTTAAAGAAAACATTTTAAAGTAATGCTATGATTTTTATAAAAAAGAAAACCTCTTTTTTTCCAAAACAAATGTAGAATGTCTTATCTATACATAGTCCATACTATTGCATGGCAAAAATGGTTCAAAATATAAAATGTTTACTCAAAACTACCTTTAGAAAATAGTCTTTAATTTCTCCTTTTTGTTACTGCTTGGAAAATATCTATAGCTATACTTAAATCTTACGACGACTAATGTCTCCAATTGAAATAAAGATGTGATATCCAATTTTCACCCTCCTAGCAGATAATAGCCATGAGTCATTTCTTAGAACTAGGTTTTCAGGTAATAGGGTAGGGACAGACTGTGCTATTTTGTACACTTCACAACTTTAGAAACATTTTATAACCACGATATGTGTAAGAACTTGTAATTACTCTATCTCCTTCAATCTATGTCAAGAAGATAATAAATGTGCATTTTGCACAGGGCACTAATACTTGGGTCTGTGAGTTGAATAGCATCTCCCATCTCTGTATTCACTAATAGCTTGGGTAAAACACTTAAATGTTCTTCTAACTTAGTACCTCCACCAGAGTAATAGCAACGCTATTGGTATATTTTTAGGTATATCAGAGAGTGAAAGGGCCATTATATAATCAATCTTTTACATCTTTGGTTGATAACTGTGCTCTATTTAGAGAACCATTATGTTGATAACTCCATTTCGCTGATGAAATTCATTTTGCTATTATGCTAGACGGGCAATGATAACTGAAGGAGACCAGGGAGCCTCTAGATGTGATAAAGATCTAGTAATAAATAACAGGGAACTAAATAAAGTGAGTTACTTGGAAAATGTCTATTTGCTAAAGTTACCAAGGGAAATATTACATACTATACATCATTTGAAAAAAATAAGTTATCTCTTTTTACTTAATTATCAGTCACATTATAATATTGGATATAGCAACTCCAGAGGTTAACTGATTACTGCTTTTATAATTGAATTCTTAAAGAGTTTCACATCTTAAAATTATCTAATTATATTTTTGAAACACCACAGAAACCCAAAATGTACCTATCTGTAATTATCAGAATGCATACATCCAATCAGGACCCAGCTATGTTCAAAGCCACAATGAGCCCAATTTTCAATTATCTGCATTTCCTGCCACAATCTAAAAAAAACACATTGTGTGTGCTCTTATTAGTGGTCACTGAAAGAAGATGCTGTTTTCAATGGAAGAAAATCAAGAACAAATAAATTAATCATCCTCCACTGGAAAAAAAAAAAAAAAAACAAGGGAAAACAACACAGTCCTGAAATCGTCTGACAGTGCCAATAAAATGGAATGTTTAAAAAAATGGTGTGTCTCATAGCAGCAAAAGAGTACCCCACACTTAAAGATTATGTGACTACACTAAAAACAGACCATTTTTGTGCACTGAGAGTTACAAAAAGGCACAAAGTTCACAAATAGATGGCATTTTCAGGTATGGGAGCAAAATGGCATAAAGAAACTGACCTTATTATTAGTTTAGCAATAAAAGTGAAAGAGAAAAACATTTCAAAGGAAAACCTATTACAGGTTGTATATAAAGCAGTTGGGCCCAGCTGAAGCCCTTAGTAATGACAGTGGTCCACTGAATGCTGACAGACAAGAATAGTTACAGTTATGCATGGATATTGGCACCTTATACAGAAAATTCTAGAAACATCATTGTGAATATGACATTCCATAAATCACAGGGAATCAGCACATGATTTAGTTCAGCCTTTATGCAAGCCCAAAAAAGGAAGAAGAAACTGACATCCATCAATAATAAGTAACGACTCACTTTAAATCTAGTATCTAGTGCCAAAAAATTTATTTATTTTTTTGCTGTTCAAACTGTTTCCATGGGCCTCCTAAGTCAGCCGATAACTTTCCTATCCCTAAATATATAGGTTCTTTTTCTATGTCTTTCCAAGAGAAGTGGTATTAAGAATAAATATTTTGGCTGGGCACGGTGGCTCACGCCTGTAATCCTAGCACTCTGGGAGGCCAAAGCGGGCAGATTGCTCGAGGTCAGGAGTTCGAAACCAGCCTGAGCAAGAGGGAGACCCTGTCTCTACTATAAACAGAAAGAAATTAATTGGCCAACTAATATATATAAAAAAAATTAGCTGGGCATGGTGGCACATGCCTGTAGTCCCAGCTACTCGGGAGGCTGAGGCAGGAGGACTGCTTGAACCCAGGAGTTTGAGGTTGCTGTGAGCTAGGCTGACACCACAGCACTCACTCTAGCCTGGGCAAGAAGCGAGACACTGTCAAAAAAAAAAAGAAGAAATATTTTGGAACCTCAAAAAGAAATCCACTAAACAAGCACCAACAAATCACAACCTGAGGGGGTTCTATTTTCAAGTGATGAGCAGGAGCAATGGGACAATCTTTGTTACGCATTAATGACTGAAACAGCTCCTGTACAGGTTTCAAATTAATCAGACAAAGAATATCAGTTTCACAGCATTAGACTTGTGAAAGGGGAGTGGATAGCAGTAACAGTAAAGTTTTCCCCAAAAAACAACAGAGTTATCTAAGCAATAACCCAACAAGAAAAGGGAACTACTTCTGATTTCCTAAACTATGTCCCTCACAGGTGCTTATTTCTGATTACCATGGCAGCACACAACGTTTTTCATCTAACACTTGAGAAGAATGCTTGGTCACACCACGCTCTGCCTTATTAAATGATCTATGTTGAAACCATTCATTTCCATTTCTCTTACCTCTGTAAAATGTCAAATAAGAATGATAAGACAGTCATTTACCCTCAATTTTCTCAAGCATGTAAGGTTTAGAGGGAATGTGCTAGAACTCTAAAATAATAGGCTAATATATTTTCTCAATTCTCCCATCCTCCTTTATTTCCACTTGGAGGAAATCTATTTCTGATAGTATCTCCTCTAAAGATTAGGGGCAGAAAAGGGCTGCTGTTTAACCCAAAAAGATTTTTTTCTCAAACATAGTTATTTTGAGTAAATACCTTTCAAAAGATAAATTCTATAAAGGACATAAGACGTTCCCTGGAGTGCTTACAAAAGGTAACACGAAAGTAGCTATGAGTGAAAAAAAATAATGTTTTAAGTACCAAAACAAAAATGCAAGTGGCTCTACCCTACCTGCCTCTTCTTCACCCTTCTTGCGCACATGCAACCACGCACACACAGCACCGTGGATTCCAACCACAAGTTTTAAAAGCAATTACAAAGAAGGAAAGAAAAATCATTCAATCCTCATTTTACAAAGCAGGAACGTGGGCCTTAGAGATCAACAGGCCATAAGAATCTTCCTTCCCTTACTCAGTGGGTCAAAAAAAAAACCAAACAATGCTTCTAGACCTGTGGGAGGCATAATTCACATTTCATTTCCTGAACATGTCCTGTTCAAACCAGGATAACAAAATGAAGATGCTATGAAGTAAATCATACTCCAATTCTAATTTTCATTACATTGAGATTTTGCAAAAGAACTACAGAGCTATTGCAATCAACTACTCATATGTGGGAAACAAGCATGGGAGTTAATGAGGAGCAAAATCATCTCTCTAGAAATACTTCTTAAAACTTTTTTAAAACTTTTGAAGGAATATTAAAAGTGATCATATTTTAGGTAATTTATTTCAAGAATACTACAGAAGCAATTGCATTTAAAAATACCCAGAAATCAAAATTATATTTTAAAGAATGTATTCCATACACATACAATTAAACCAGAGTTCGTGCAGTGTCCAGAAGCAGATCTTAGGGGGCTTTTTTTAAACAAGAACAATGGCTCATTTCTTCAGAGGCGGATCACCCACATCATAATCATCCTCGTCTGGCATCACCAATGGCTCCCCAAAGATCAAAGACAAATTCATCTGGGAACGCAAATTCTCCAAGAGTTTCGTTGAGTGCCATAGAAAATTCATCTGGATTACTTTTGTCCTTTCCAGCTTCAAACATTGTGGTAGCTGTCAAAAATAATTTTAAAAAATTAATAATAAATGGAGATAGCAACAAGGGACTGAAAAAACGGCAATAAGAAAATTACTTTCTAAAATTCATATGCATATGTATCATATATTTCTAGTGCAAATGAAAACAGTAAGATATCCCTCTCACATATCAAGGTAGTAGAGGTATTTTTCAACAATCTGTCCCCTGCACTCAGGTTTGCAGCTGCCACCCCTGCCCTCTACCCAACCTTGAGGCCCATCATTTGGGGACCTCAGGCATTCCTGTGGGTAAAACAAGATCTCCTGAGAGAAAACCCTGTGGCTAACACTGGCAGGAAACTTAGAGTACTTCCCTCATCTCCCTATAGTCACTAGTTCTCTCTGCTTCCTCCTCCCATTCCCAACTATGATGGAGTCTAGTCCTCCCTCCCCAAAGGAAAAAAAAAGAAGACAAAGGATGGCAGCTTACAAGAGAGCAATAAAGCTAGGGAGAAGGAGAGGAAGACATACATCCACCCATGGAATCAAGGTATCTTTTCTGAGCTCCTCTCCTGTTTAGGACAGAAAGTGAAAGTGGTGCCCTTGTTCTGTTTTTCTAGTAAGCTGCCTAGCCCCATATTCTACGTCTGGGAACCAGCATCTTCAGGAGTACACATTCCCATGGGACTTGCCCCGAGGTGGCTGGGAGCCCATGAGGTTCAGCTGGTTTTTGCTCAGCCCCCTATAAGCACCAACAACCAGAAAGAGACAATATGAATGTGACTTGGGATTTGGGTGAAGAACTTCCAGGTGAAAGGGAAACACCAAATCCCAAGAGAAATACTCCAGCCTCTCTTTCCTCCCAGGTTAAGAATGAACTAATCAAAGTTCATACGATTTCCCTTAATGAGCACAAGATCTGGTCTTTCAGCTAAATCCAGTAGGGCTCTTCAGAGTAGATAAGAGCTGTTTCTCTTCCCAGTGGTTCAGTACTAACACAAGGCTAGGAAGAAAGGAGAGATGTGGCCCGTGGCCCACAAAAGGGCCCCATGATCAGAGCAGAAGCGGGGTGCGGGTGGAGTGACCAGGTACAGGGACCAAAGTTCTAGTAAGGTCAGGAGGGCTTCCATCTTGAGTAGGACAGGACAGTACAGACGTGGTGAGGAGGATATGGGGGCAGGAAGGAAGGACAGCAGTCCCAGCAATGAGAGATTGGTTACATACATGGAAATTCATCACAGGAGTCTATATATCAAGAACAATGGGAATCAAGTTTGTCACTGCTAGAGAAGGATAAATAAGGAAAGGGAAAAAACAAGAATTATTCCTAAAGAATTGTAATGCCAGATATCAGAGGAAATATATATATATATGTATATTATATATATATATATTCAATTGAGAGATTCTAAAAATATAAATGCATGAATACACACACACACATTTCTCAGTCCTGGAAGCATGACACCTCAAGAGTAATGAGAATACAAGGCACTCAAAATTTGGTTCTTAAATATCATTCCCCATTAAAAAGAATGAGAGTTTCTTGGAGAAGTGGTTGATTCCAAGGCTAGAGCAGGCAAAGTGCAATATGAACCGAGAGCATCTTGTACCAGAAAGAAAGTATTGTTTAAAAAATGATAGGAACATGTGAAAAGGACACAGAAGTCAGAGTGCAAGAGCTCCCACTGACAAAATCAGGGATAACTTTAGCATCAAAATAAGTAGGAACAGTAACAGATTATAACTCCACTGAATAAAATAGGAAACCATGACTCCATAATGAAATAGATGATTAATTGATTGATTACAGATAGATAAAAGAAAGAACTAAAGAAACTGATTCATGAGGAACAGTTTATTTACATAGTTTCAAAACATCTCCCCACAAAATACTTATTAAGGAAAATAACTTTACAATACAGAAACCTAACACCACCTAAGTCATCAAAGTGAACATAAATAAGAGAACAAATCAAAAACCTGTGCCTCCTGATAAGATGTAATGAAAAAAAGACAACACCACATTTATGATATTCCTGACAAAGAAGTGTGAAAACTTGAATGTAATTATGGGAAAAAAATTAGACAAACCAAAATTGAGGAAGATACTGGGGGAAAAAACCCTGACTTACACCCTTTCATGAACATCAAGTTCATGAAAATCAAGTAAAGAACAGGGAACTATAACTTGCAATCTCTGGTTTTGGTTCCTAGTCACAAGATAAGAAAAATGCTCTTCAAAATTCTCATACTCTAACCTTACAGTCCAAAATATACAAGCTCACTCATTCTGGCATAGGAGAAAAGTGAAGAAAACCCCCAAACTCAATACAATCCCAAAGCTGGTCAGACTTCCATACTTCTACGTGTTCTATCTCCACTATCGCAGCCGTTATTACTAGTAATAATTGCTAGTGATCATTACTAAGAATGATAATAGCCACATTTATTATTTGTGACGTGACAGGAATGTATTATTTAATTTGATGTCGTGGCAACCTTATAAGGTTGTTAATATTATGCCCCTTTTAAAGACATGGAAATTAAGACTCAAAAAGAAATTAAGAATAAAGCATGCACTTGAACATGTTATAAATTTTTGCTAATGCATTAAATATAAACATAGCTTTTAAATGTCCTTACAGGAAAATTAATGGTATAATTTTATACTTTTTGATAAAACATTAATCTCTGATTTAAGAGAAAAGCCAAAGAAACTTTAGCAAAATGAAGTACTTTTTAGAAAATTATAGCATATTAACATAGACAGATATTAAAATGAGTTTTATCCATTGACTATAATAGAGCTGCAATAATATTTAATATCTGACTACAATCTGGCAAAAATATTCCACTAAAAGAGAATTTTATACCCCATATAGTAGCTAAGTTCTGACCTCTAGTGGCAATTTTTCATTACTACCACTGAACTTTTTTTTTTTTTGAGAGAGAGAGTCTCGCTTTGTTGCCCAGGCTAGAGTGAGTGCCATGGTGTCAGCCTAGCTCACAGCAACCTCAAACTCCTGGGCTCAAGCAATCTGCTGCTCAGCCTCCGCATAGCTGGGACTACAGGCATGCCACCATGCCCGCAAATTTTTTCTATATAATTAGTTGCCAATTAATTTCTTTCTATTATAGTAGAGACGGAGTCTCGCTCTTGCTCAGGCTGGTTTCGAACTCCTGACCTTGAGCGATCGCCCGCCTTGCCCTCCCAGAGTGCTAGGATTACAGGCACGAGCCACCATGACCGGCCCACTGAACTATTTTTACATTATTTTAATGACAAATCTATTTTGGTGATGTAGTCAACGTATAGTTCCATTAATTTTTAAATATTAAGCAGAACTTTGATATAAAATATTACACATGGTAAAAATTTGGTATCAAAGTCCGGAATTAAATCTTAGCTCTTAACTTGTAGGTAAACTTGGGCAAATTACCAAACTTCTCTGAAACTCACTTTTCAATATAAAAACGGCAAATAACAGCATTTAGATAAATATTAATCATCCCCATTGTTAATTTAATCATGAAATCTGTCTGGACCTCATTTTATGGAGGGTCTTCAGCCCTCATCTTCACTAAGACTTTTCATAAATAATATATCAACCCATTTCCAACAAGTCACATAAGTCAAACTGCAAAATCACAGCCAATTTAGAATACAACTCTAATGAAAATCTATTTCCAGAATTTCATTGGCTTTATCTGAGAAGGATGACTTGGATAGTGTTCATTTTTTAATTTGTTGAAAAAAAGAAAGTGATCCTAGGAAGAAATGTAATTATCCTGTTAAAACACCATTAGTGTATACTTTTCAGCAGTCATAAAAGACTTTATGGGAAAAATGACTGGGAACTATCATTTAGATTTCTTTTCCACCATCTCTGGATCTCTTAATAACTTAGAAATCCTAATTTTATTAAGAATGAAACAAAGAAAACTACTAAGCATTGATGAAAGAAATTGTAGATGACATAACAAAACATGAAAACATCCCATGCTCATGGATTAGAAGAATCATATTGTTAAAATGACCATACTGTCCAAAGTAATCTACTAATTCAATGCAATTCCTATCAAAATATCACATCATTTTTCACAGAATTAGAAAAGCAATTCTAAAGTTCATATGGAACCAAAAAACAGCCCAACAGCCAAGCAATCCTATGTGAAAACGACAAAGCTGGAAGCTCCACATTACCAAGACTTCAAATTATACTACAAAGCAAGAGTGGCCAAAATACATGGTGCTGTATAAAAATAGACGTATAGATCAATGGAACAGGAACAGAAAACCCAGAAATAAGCACCAACCTATAGCTAATTGATCTCAACAAAAACATACTGGGCAAAGGACACTCTATTCAATAAATGGTGCTGGGAAACAAATGAAACTGGACCCTATCTCTGACTATATACAAAATTAACTAAAATGGACTAAAGATTAAATTCTCGGTTCTTCCCTGGTCTATAAAAAAAAATAAATAAATAATAAAAGCTTAAAAAAAACTTAAATGTGGCCAGGCTCTGTGGCTCACACCTGTAATGAGCACTTTGGAGGCTGAGACAGGGAGGATGGCTTGAGGACAGAAGTTTGAGACCAACCTGGGCACAATAGCAAGATCCCATCTCCTAATAAAATTTAAAATAGCCAGGTGTAGTGGGTGCATGCCTACAGTCCAGCTATCAGGAGGCTAAGGCAGGAAGATCCGCTTGAGCCGGAATTCAAGATTACAGTGAGCTATGATCACACCACTGCTCTCCAGCCTAGGTGACAGTGAAAAAAGGGGTGGGGGGGACTTAAATATCTAAAACTATAAAATTCTAGAAGACAATCTAGAAAAATCTTCTGGACATTGACCTAGGCAAAGACTTGGCGGGTGCGGTGGCTCATGCCTGTACTCTAGCTCTCTGGGAGGCCGAGGTGGGAGGATCGCTCAAGGTCAGGAGGTCGAACCCAGCCTGAGCAAGAGCGAGACTGTCCTCTACTAAAAATAAACACAAATTAATTGGCCAACTAAAACCTATAT